CCAGGCTGCTTGAGCTCCCTGCCCAGCTGGGTGGCCATCAGAACCACTGCCCAGCTCCTCTGGGCAGGAAAGGAGACATTAGGCGAGAGTTCAGAGTGCCAGTGTGTGCTGAACACAGCCTGTGACTCTCAGGTGCCCGATCAGAGGGCACCCACCTCCCCTCTCTGGCCTCTGCCACCTCCAAATCCCCAGGTGCTACTGAGTCTCTGTCCTCCCCCAACACACTCTCTTCTCAACCCCCACACCGTGTGCCTGTGCAGCTGACACTCTGGTGGGAGAGCCCCCGCAAGCTTCCGCTCCACAACCAAGTCCACCCGACCAGGTGTTCTGTGTGCACCTGCCCACTGCGGACACACCTGCGATGGCTCCTCACTCACTACCTGACCATCCCTAAGTGACCTCCCCAGAGCCCTGCTCTCCCCTGAGCACACCCGCACCTGGAGCCTGGTCAAGGCCGCTTCTCTGATGGGAGGATTTTGCTCCCACTCCACCTATATCCGTCCCCTCACCATGACCTTTGAGTTTATCTCAAATGCCACCTTCTGCAGGAAGCTTTTCCAGATTTCCCGATAGAAATGGTCTTTCCCAGCCTTGACCTCTCAGAGCACACCACTGACACCTTCGCACCGTGGGCACTGGTATCCTTTCCTCTTCCTGGGCTGTTCCCCTAGCAATCATTACCTCCCCCCATCTCTGAAAGGCAGAGGTTGAATTCCCTTCTATCTCCCCCGAGACCCTGCAGCATGTTGGCCAAGGACAGTCATCTCAGGATCTGGGAAGGTCACTGCAGCCAGAACCCTGGGGAAACACAGACGTCCACACAGCAGCTTCCCCCTTTCAGTCTCTTAAAGAGGTTAAGCCTCAAGGAGGGCTCCCAGGGCGCCTGCAAAGCTGCTCCTTTACCCATTAGAGGGAACAACTGGTTAACATGCTCAGCTGTGGACCAAAAGGCTGGAGGTTCACATCCACTCAGAGGTGCCTTGCAAGAAAGGCCTGGTGACCCACTTCCCCCAAGTCAGCCACGGAAACCACCACAGAGCAGTCCTGCTCTGTCCACACGGGGTCACCGTGAGTCAGAATAGACTCGGCAGCAACTGGCTTGGTGTTTTTGTCCGTCAGGGAGGAACTGCCCGTCGTAAACCAGCAGTCTGGCCGGGCTCCGGGCGCCGTTCTGCCCAACGGGCACCCCGGGGCCCCTTACTTGTCACTCCTTGAGGCGTTCAGGAAGGTGTGCTCCATGTCGTGGATCTTGTGGCAGAAGTTCTTGCTCCTCGCGTTTTGTTCTTCTTGGAACCGGCAGAACATCAGCCGCTCCTTCTTCAGCATCTCCACCACGCCAGCACAGTGACTGTCCACCCGCTCTTCATGAAGCAAGAGCTCGGCTGAAAGAAGGCAGGGGAGCTGGGGCACTCTCTACATCCTGTCACCTCAGGCATTCATGTCCTGGGACAGTGACCTGCCACTGCCTCTCTTGGGCAGCTCCAGGGCAGGACCTGTTCAGGTCAGGTTCCCTTCTGCAGCCCCCTCATGGATCCCAGAGAGGCCCCAGGGTCTTCAACCAAGGAGGGGCCTCTGCCAGCTCCCTGCTGGTGCAGAAACTCTGCCTGCAGCAGGAAAGAACAACGCCAGGGACATGGAGAATCCAGGGAGCCTGGGGAGCAGATGGGAAGGAGGGAGGGTGTGGGTGAGGGCTGGCCCAAGCTCTAGCAAAACTGAGCGGTGTGAAGGTCCCTGGGCAGCGCCAGTGGTTAGCACTGGGCTGGTAACCAAAAGGTTGGTGGTTCAAACCTACCCAGCGGCACTGCAGGAGAAACAGGCCTAGCGATTGGCTGCTGTAAAAACTAAAGCCAAGAAAAAGCCCTACAGAGCAGTCCTACCCTGCAATGCATTTAGGTCTCCTAAGTCACGAGTCAACAACAAAAACAAAAGCAACAACAAAACTGAGCGGACTGTGGACTGTGGACTGTGGACTGTGACTTTTACTGTTTCTCTGGCTTTGGTTTCTTCATCCACATTGGGCCAGGGAGCCAGGAAAGGAGAGACCCAGGGAAGGAGAGGCCAGGGAAGGAACTTCCATCATTAGGGAACATCTCTGGTGGTGTAGTGCCTAAGGCATTTGACTACTACCCAGATGGTTGGCAGTTCAAACCCACCAGCTGCTCCATGGAAGGAAGATGCGACAATCTACTTCCATAAAGATTTACCGCCTTGGAAACGCAGTGGGGTCACTGTGAGCCAGATTCGACTCGATGGTGGCGGGTCTGGTGTCAGGCTGAGAGCTTGCCTTTACCATGGGGGTGGCTGTGAGCCGGCTTCCCCTCCCCAGCCCTGGCGGTTTATGCACTGCCCGCAGGGCCCATTTTCTGCCAGAGCAACTTTAACGTGCACCTTGTGCAGCTGAGGGCAGTGAGAGGTTCCAGACACCCCACAACGCGTCCAAGGCACAGAGCTGGGTGGGGCAAGCGGGCTCTGTGGGCGCTGGGATTTCAGGCCAGGTTGTTGGAGTCCACAGCACTTCCACGGCCCCTGGCAGCAAGGAGGTCAGATGGGGTGACCTGAGGGTCTATGCTAGCTCCGAAGGTCTATGACGGAGCATGCAGTATGATGACAGTGAAAACCAACATCGGGCACGGAAGGTCCCAGCCAACATATGTCCCTCCCCCCAGCATTAATGAAGCCCACTTCCTAGGTAAGAAATGGCACTTTTTAAAGTATTTTAAGTGAAAACAATGGCTACCATTGGAGGCTGTACCTTTTAGCAGGCACTCAAGGCATTCTCACTGTCTCATTTCAAGGGTAATTACCAGCAGCTCCCTGGTTTGGCCAGTCACGTACTGGGAAGGCTGAGCCCGACCGCTCTAACCCCTGAGCTACAGGCCATGCAGATGTGTATCTGATGGTCTGTGAGCAGATCTGGGTACACAGACCTGAACCAGGGAGACACCGTCCACCTCAGCATGTGAAAAAAAGATAAAACTCAAAGCAATCAAGTTGACCTTGACTCATGGCAAACCCACGTCACAGGGTAGAACTGAGCTACCAGGGCTTTCAGGGCTGTCATCTTTACGGACGCGGCTAGCCAGGCCTTTCTTCTGTGGCTCCAGTGGGTACATTCCACCTTCAGGTTAGTGGTTCAGCCACTCAGGGACCTTCAGCATCTAATACCCTCTTATTTCTTTCAAAACGTTCTTCACTGAGGGCTCTGAGCACCACCTTCCTCGGGGAGCCTCACACACATCTTCCAGTGTGATGGCAACCTGCTACCTGCCATGCATGCTGCAAACTGGAGCGAGCGGCTCATGAACTTGGAGTCGGGGGGGCAAACGCTGCAGGAGGGCCTGGGGTGGGGGCGGGGGCCGTCCCAAGTGGGGTCTCTACCTGCCCTGACGTTGTGGATGTCTCTCTCGATACGCTGGGCTCGGGGCTCGTGCAGGTGCATACGCAGCTCCAGTTCTGACTCCAGCTCCTCGATCTTGGTGGCCACGACGACCCGGACATTAACAGCGCACTGGTCAAACCACTTCTCGAGGTGGTTGAACAGGCCAACCCGAAGTCTGGGGAGAGACCAGCCAGGGGCAGCCCTGCATGAGTGAGAACCAGCACAAGCTCTCCACACTGGCCCAGAACGAGCATCTCCAGTATGTGGTATGTCACTATGTGGATGGACCATAATTCTGTAACCAAACCCCTACTGGAGGTTTCCTAACTTGAAGGCTGCCATGAATAACCTTGTACATACGTCAAGTATACAGGTGTTCCCGCAGGGTAAATTCCCTGAACTGGGATCGTGGAATCAAAGGGTAAGTACACCCATAACTTTGGCAGATGTAGCTCCACTGCCTCGCTAGAAAGGAGGGCAGAGGGGGGCGCCCCGTGAAGCTGGGGGCACTGGTAACTGTAAACAATTCCTGGACACCTGCCATATTTATTGAGTTTCTCCCCTCCCTGCATTACTTACGTGTTTGCTTTTCCCAGCTGAAAAGAACCCAATGTTTTAGACAATATTCCACTCCGTTAATAAAACCCAGGACCAAAGGATGGCAATGACAATGGCTTCACTCACTGCCTCTTAATTTCTGAAAGCAGCCTGGACGGAATGACCACGTGCTGCAGGAACTCAGTATCGCAGGTGTCCTGGGAGAGCGCGGACGAGAGGCAGGAGTGGGGCCTCTGGCTGTACTCTTCCTCTTCCAGGGGTACGAAGACAAAATAGGTGTTCCCACTGGAGGTGACGAAGGACTCCACGACCTGGCTGGAGGGTTCCCTCACACTTTCCTCCTGGGACTCAGCCTAAGCAGGGAACAAGCCTTTAGACTGGGCATCATCTTAGTGGCAGTGGGTTGACTTTTACTTTTTGGGCAGGGGGAGCATTGGTGGTTGAGTGGTAGGATGTGGATCCCAACCACCACTTCCTTGACTGTGGGCCAAATCTTGCCGGCAGCTGCCCCCCAGGGTGTTGTTTGCTGCTACCTGGTCGGTCCCCGAGTCCTGGCAACCCTTGCACAATGGACCAAAACCTGCACCATCCTGTCCATGCCGACCAGTTGTGGGTGAGTCCACTGGGATCCACATTGTGACCCATGGGTGGGTTCTCAGAAGTAGAGCCCCAGACCTTTCTTCCTTGTCTGTCTTGGTCGGGAAGCTCTGCTGAAACCTGTCCAGCCTCATAGCAGGACCTAAACCTCAGTGACAGGCAGGTGGTGCATTGGCTGGACACTGAGCAGAGCTCTCTGACATGGAAGACGAGAACCCTGCCGCTCAACCACCAACACTCCCCCTGCCCGAAAAGTAAGTCAACCCACTGCCACCGAGTTGATTCCAACTCATAGCAACCCCCATTGGGTTTCCAAGGCTGTAAATCTTTACAGAAGCAGATTGCCTCATGTTCCTCCTATGGAGCAGCTGGTGGGGTTGAACCATCCACCTTCCGGTTAGCAACCCAATGCCTCAACCACTGTGCCACCAGAGCTCCTTTTAATGCTTCCCAGGTAGTGCATTTTAGAATTGGGAAATCCCAGGGGAACAATCTGGATTCTGATTTCTCTTAGGAAATCAGACGTGAGCCTGCCTCCCCATAGGACGTCTCTGCTTGGTGCTGAGCTGACTGCAGACCCCTCCCTCCTCGTTCTCTGACACTGGGTCTCCAGCCGCCCTTTCTGTTACATGCCTGTATCTGCTGGGTTTGGAATCCCTGCTCAGAAAGAATGCTCCAGTGCCAATGCCCTCAAAGCAACAGAGGAAAATGTGTCATGTGCCGTTCTGTGAGGGAATTCAAGTTATTGTTTAAATGTGTTTTGAGGAAAAGATGTGTTGGTATGAGTCCCTTCCCTGCTCTCTGAGGAGAGCTCTGTCTGCCAGCGTGGCGATGGCCCCTCAGTGCTGTGCAGCCAGAGTGTGGGAGAAGGAGGAGTGGAGAGACCGGGGTGAAGCAGAGTGCTCTCACCCAAAGAAGCTAAGTTGATTTGTACAATTAAAAAAAAGACAAAACAGTTGCTGAGTGGATTCTGACTGATGGTGACCCTTGTGTTTCACAGCAGAACTGTTCCAAGGGTTGTCAATGGCTGTGACCTTTTGGAAATAGATTGCCAGGCATTTCTTGTGAGGTGCCCAGGGTGGATTCGAACCACCATCCTTTCAGCTACTAGCTGCGCACTTCACCATGTGCCCCACCCAGGGACTCTGTGATACGATAAAGCAGGGCTGATGACGGGAGGGGGCTGGAGAGAGGCGAGGAAAGACACATGGCTGAGGGGGACTCCAGAGGAGGTCGTGGGATGTGTGACATGAGGAGAGGAAGGGGAATGTTCAGAAAGCATTGCTGAGTTAAAAACTGGATTCCTGTTAAAAATACAAAGGGTGTGATTACGTCTGTAGTGCTTTGCAAGTCCTCCGTGGAACCCAGCCTGCCGAGGACTCAGCCTGTATCAGGGATGCACACGATTCTCAGACCCAAGAGTGAGTCCGCTGCCGGCCTACCTCCTCCCCAGACGCAGGCTCATCTTCCTCCTCTTCCTCCTCCTCCTCCACCTCCTGAGCCATCACGTGCTCCTCGGTTGGGGACGGTCTTGAGGAGCTCTCTGTTGCCCGCGTCTCCTCTAATCCCTGAGCAGAGCCCTCTCCGGACTCGTCCACCTCGTCGAACAGAAGAGACCCTTCCGGCTGATTCAACAGCTCCTCGCTCATGAAGGACTGGGTTTCTCTGTATTTTTCTCCTTCCACCTCCTCCGTCTCTGCCTCTGGCCTGGGGGAACTCTGCCCGCTACTTACACTTTCCCCATTTTTGTTCCTTTCAGCGGAAGCTCTTTGTTTTCTCCCCAGCTTTCGCATCTTCTCCTGAATGTGCTTTTCGTGGATTTCTGAGGGATAACCAACACCCCAGCACCGGGAGAGACAGGTTACCCACGTCACCGGGGGGAGGCGTCCCCCACCCAGAAATATACGAGACCAAGATCTACGAGAACCAAACCTGCATTGTGAACGTGTTACCTGGTTCCCTGAGTCTGACAAAGACAACCCCGTCCAAGTTCTACAAGGAGAAGAAACAGAGAAAAGAACAGAGGACACACATCTCACGTGCTGCCAAGGAGACCTGTGCTCCTTGGTTCTCAAGGCAGATCATCACACCTGTCTTCCAAGCTACCTCCAGGTGGGTTCAAACCACCAACCTCTCCACTACTATCACAGGGAGCACATATTAGCAACGAGAACAGGGGAGGAGAGGGGTTCTCTGAGACAGAGAACATGGGACACCAGGGCCAGGTCTGGAGCCAGCCACAAGCCTGCCAGCCATCTGGCCATGCAGGACTCTGGCTGGTCTACGGAGAAAGAGCCAGGCCCTGGGAAAGCCACACCAGGAGGTTCCCGGTGTTCACACAGTCACTAAGGGGAAATCACATGCCAGGCTGTGCTAAGGGCCACTGGAGTGAAATAAAACTAGTAAGGCCTCCCTGCCTGTCAGGAAATGCATTCTAGTCAGATGCTCTGACCTGGATCTCACATCAAGCAGCAACACACATGCACATTTGGGGGGGAAGTGTTTGCAGAGTCAGGGGAGTGTCATGGAGAGTGGCCACTGCGCGTGGACCAGCAGTAGAGCTAGGGAGGGGACATGCGAGGGTACCGGGAGAATATTCCAGTAGTGGGAGCGGATGAGGAACAGCTGGTCGGCAGAGGGCACATGCAGGAAACAGGAGTTTGCCAAACCAGGGAGAGGGACAGTGGGAACCCGAGAGTGGAGAGCCTGGGGCCATGTGGGGGCCTACACGTCATCAAAAGACGGTGGTGGGATTTGGTAGGGGCTGGAGCTCGTGAGGGGCTCTGAAGCAGGAGAGTGAGTGAAGTCAGAGCCGTATTTCCAAATCACTGGCCATGGGTGTTGGGATGAATGAAACTCGAAGTGTCACGTAACAAACCCTTGTCATTACAATCCCACTGAAGCCGTGAGCCCTGCACTCTGAGGCCTTCAGTGTTATCACACTGACAGAGAGAGGTGTCCTTTAGAGACACATTCATCTTCTCACTCCTTGAGGCCTGAACACAGATGCTAGCACACACAGCTGGGGAAGGTGCTCCAAGTCCAGCAGATGAGAACAAGTCACGCCACCCTTTGGTGTCTCCCCGGGTTTTCCGCAGCCCTCTCCGTACCTGTTCAAAGATTTCCCGAACGAAAAAGTGTTGGCTGAGGGAGTAGCTGTAGGAATTGAGTTCCTTCAGGATCATAGCTGGGTAGTCCATCACTTCCTTCGTCAGGATGACGTGGAAACATTCATACCTGCGAAGGAGGTAGGGAGTCCCCTGCCAGAGGAGGGGTGGCCAAGGGCCAGGGGCAGGACTGAATGGGATCCTTGGAGCTGTAAGAGCTGGGGCGTGGCTGTCTCTTTAGCAGTAACAACGCCGGGCTGTGTGCTGTGGGTCTGCTGACTGCATAAGGGATACATACGTGTTCTTTGCAGAAAATGTGGAAACCCTCCCAGGGAGTTTTGTGCCGTAATTATTACTGTCACTGCTGCTAACTGATGCCAAGCTGGCCCCCAACTCATGACCACCCCACACAATGGAATGAAACGCCATGCCTTCCTTCCTAGTCTTCGTCTAGAAGCTCCACTGAAACCTGTTCAGCATTGTAGCCACATGCCGGCCTCCACTGACAGATGGCTGGTGGCCGTGCTGGAGACACACGGGCCAGGAATTGAACTCGGGCCTCCCTTTGGAAGGCGCGAATTCTACCGCTGAACCGTCACTGCCTCGTCTTGTGACAGGAGCTCCCATTTTGTGCCCACTGTCCTCATTTTACCTGCAGCATCCCACCAAACCCCAAAATGCCCAAGGCCCAGGCTTTAATGTTTGTTTTCCAAGCTTCCGGGGTTTCTGAGTTGCCGTTTCTGAGGCAGTATCACTACGGAAGTAGATTGCCCAACCTTCCTTCCAAGGAGTTTGAACCTCCAGCCTTCTGGTTAGCAATCAAATACCTTAGGCACGATGCTACCAGAGCTGCACAAGGGCAGAAAGACACAAAGAAGCTCACACCGAGCTGTGTGTCAAATTGAGAAACTGGAACCAATGTAGAAAAGCTAACTCACAGGACAGGCAAGCAGTACCCACATTAAAGACTGTTCAGGAGTTCTACAGTCATTTAAAACGGAAACGTATCTATACCCACAGAACAACTGGCACAGGGCGGTCCGACTCTTATTTAAAAACAATACTATACATGTGCATGTATTTATGTATATAAACATAGATGTTCATAAAAAGGAGTATTTGAGCAGGCATGAGGGGGAAACGTCTCCATGTTTACCTCGGGTGACATTTTTTGGTCTTTAACAAACAGCGGGCATGTTATAAATTTTTTTAAGTAGGAGAGGGGCCCACGTTCTTGACCTTCAAATTGCACTGCCTTGAAAACCCTCCATCAGCTTCTCAGATCAACATGCTACTTTTTCCCTGAAGCGGCTGCCTATCTAACAGCTGAGCAGCAAATGGCCACAACATTTTCCAAAGTTGGAGGTAGAAAGTTTAACCTCAAGCTTGTTGGGCACACCCATGGGCTCCTGCACAGACTGCCTGTGACCTTGAACATCAACTCCAGGTCAGCCTCTTCTGTCTTCTGGGGCCTGATCGACCTACCTTAATTTCATGCTATTCAGAAAATCTTTGGCCTTTTCCAGGTGATGCTTCAGTGTCTGCTCATGGTTTTGCTGCCTCAGTTGGTCCAAAAGTTTATCCAGGTTAGCCTCCTGGGCCTGGCAGCAGCCCACAAAACAAGAAGCAGCAGATGTGAGCTGGGGACCAGGACAGCCACCAAAGCAAAAACCAAACCCAACAGTGTTTTAGTGCCTTAGAGATCCCGCTGCTCAAACTGAGGTCCACCGTCCTAGGGCAAGCCCAGGACTGTTTCCCACAGAAGGGGCATCGATCCACCATTATCCCTGCTCTCCATTATGGGCCTGGGCCTTCTCTCCCTTCCTCCACCACCCTCTGAATGCTCCTCCCTCCCCAGGGACGTGTCCCTGACCCCACCCTGCCTGCTCAGTCCCTGCCACACCTCCTCATGACACCTGTTCATCGCCCTCCTTCTCACAGTCACACCGGAAATGAGATGCTGGCTGGGGACAAACGGTGGGGAACCACCACTGCTCTCCTGGGATGGCGGGGCACTGATCGGGGCACATGCCCATTGCTCCCAGTCCGTCCGTCCGTCTCTTACACGCTCTCCTGCAGACACTTTTGTCTCCTGGGACCCAGTGCACCAGCTTAGGGAAACTTCTGCTGCTCCCCGTCCAACGCCAGGGCCAAGCAGAGCCTCACCTCTCAACTTCCCCGTCTGTACAAGCTCTACAGCTAAGGTTACATTTGGGTCTAGAATCTGTTTTGAGTTTATTTTCGTTTATGATGTGAAGTATGTGTCAAAGTTCTTCTTTTTTTCCCCCCAAATATGTTATTTGTTTTAATGCATTTTATTGAAATGTAATTTATGTACAGTGAAATACACAAAACTAAAGTGACATAGGTCAATACACTTCTTTTTTTTTTGCAGTGTTCCCTCCCCTCCTCTGGCAACCAACAAAGAAAATTCCCCTCCATATGTAAACCCTTCCTTGATCCGCCACAACAACGAACTAATACTCTATTTGTCCTTCTGTGATTGAATTATTTCACTCGGCATAATGTCCTCCAAGTTCATCCATATTATGCGGTGCTTTGCAGACTCTACATTATTCTTTAGTGCTCCATAGCATTAATTATCAGCAAATATGAATTTGTTGCTGTCATTTTTGTCATGTGCTTTTTCATTGTGTCAATTTCTTTGTTCATATAATTTTCTATGCTGAGCTTGTTTTGTTTATGAATCGTGTTATCACTTCCTTCATTGCTATTGTTTTAGTGTTTGCTGAATATTTGTGTTGGTCCACTTTTTGGTTCTGATGTAAAGGTTTATCATTTTTCTTTGAGATTATCCAGCGATTAATAGTTTTCTTCCCAAGTTTAGAACAGTCCGTTCTATCTTGTAGTTGTCTTGACTTCCCTACCATCTAGAAGTTCTGTAACAACAGTTTTTTCCCTCTTTTTGGTTTGTAGTTGTCCTCATTTGTCAAATGATGCCTCTGGTTCCCTGTTTACAATCTTGTAGGCTTATTTACTTTGAATACTTCCATAGCTGGGTTGGTTTCTGGGTTATGTCAACATGTTAATGGTCAGTTGTTGTTGGCTGTTATTGCTTCTCTGTCCAAAGGACTCCCTTCAACATCTCTTGTAAGGTTGGTCTGGTTTTAACAAATTCTTTAATTTCTGCTTATCTGGAAATGTCCTGATTTCACCATCATATTTGAGGGACAATTTTGCTGGGCACATAATTCTGGTTGGAAATTTTTCTCTTTCAAGGTTTTATATATGCCATCCCATTGTCTTCTCACCTGCATGGTTTCTGCTGAGAAATTCGAGCTTAGTCTTATTGGTTGCCCCTTGTAGGTAACATTTTGTTTTTCCCATGCTGCTTTCAGAATTCTTTTTTTGTCTTTGGTTTTGGTGAGTTTGATAATGATATGACTTGGTGATTTTCTTTTGGAGTCTATCCTGTTTGGGGTTCGTTGGACTTCCTGAATGGGTATATTCTCATCTTTCATCATA